GCTTCTGGGATCTCCTTGTGCCATGAACTGGCAATGCCAAGCACCTGGCTCAGGTGCAGTCCTTGGGGCATGCTTGGTTCAGAAATCTATGTTCTCTTTCTGCCTTGGTTATGAAAATAAGCTTCCAGATGCTTAGTGACTTTAAGGACAATCACACAATGGGCTAACTTGAGCATCATCTCTGTGCCTATCTGAGACTGACCCCTGAAATGTCAACCTCTGCGCCAGGGAGGGATGCTGAGAGGGTGCAGGTGGGAAGATTCAGGACTTCTGAAGAGTGAAGAAGGCCTCTGTCAGAGGAGGAGGGAGTACTTTTACCTCGCGGCCGGAGCTGAGTTTGCCTGCAGCACTTAAGGCATCGCTTGAGAGGACGGACTTTGTCTGTGGAGTTGCCTTTCGCAGACCACTGTGCAGACTGTGCCTTCTCAGTCGCCTCCCGAGGGGAGCTGCTCGCGCTTCAGAAGGCATGTCCCTTGTGCGCTTAGGCAGCTAACTCGAGATGAGTCTCATCTATTCCGCAGAGGGAGGTTTCATGCCCTCCCTGTAGCTGGCCAGAGCCTGGGGATGTTTACCAGGCCTCACGGAGGTGTGACCTTGGTGTGAGGACGTGAGTCGCCCTGCTCCTCCGGGTCTCGGGTGGGAAGCAGCGCTTGGAAGTAGGCTCCGCTTTAAATAACCAGAGGATCTGGAAGGGTTCAGAAGGCAGATGCCACTTTAAATAGGATGCGTTCTTCATCGGAGGCAGGAGGAAAGCCTTCGTGCTGGTGCAATGATTAAGTATGAACAAAAATAACGTGTCTTGTTTTGGAACATAAAAAGCAAATGTGGTATCCATGGTGAAACGTGCCCTGTCCCAGCAGGGGCTGTCGTCTTCTTTTCCAACACTGGTTCTTGAGCCCGCTCAGAATCGCAGGTGTTGGACTGGGGAAAAGCCAGACTCTCCTCTGCCGTGGTCTCTGTGCATCGCATACAGGCCACCAAGCTGTCGCCAGGGGCTCCCCTAAGAGCAACAGGGCAAAGAGCCTGGAGGACATCTTCTTGGCTGATTTTCTGCCTGTCCCCTCCTTGTGCCTCAAATTACTTCCTAGTGGAAAAAGAATACCTCCAAGTGGTTCTGCACTGGCATATGTCAGGTCACAGCGCTGTTGCGTTTGCCCCAAGAGACTGTGGTTTACCATTTCCCAGGCCCTTTCAGTGTAAAAGGATTTCAGACAATTTACAAGTGACATTGTGTAGGTTTTTTTTTTTTAAAACAAACCCAACAAAACCCCACGCCAAAAAAAATCACTGAAATTTGTGCTTTTGGATGTACTCTTTGAATTTCTTTGGTGAACTCATCCCACAGCTGTAGGCATATGCTCATTTTTGCTGCTGTTATACAACCGAGGCTAAAATTAACACATCTGTTGTTATTTAACTTCAATTTTTACAGTACCCTGTTTTGCCAAAATATTATGTTTCGAGCAGCAACAGCTTTACTGTTATGTATCATCAGAGTTCTGGGAATAATACTTAATACTGTGTGCTCTTTCTTAATAGCTCATGCCAAGGGCGGGACTTGGGGCTTCACTGTGGCTTCAGCCCGGTGCTGAAAGACCCTCCTCTGTTCATTGCACAGGCACAAGTTTATTTGATATTTCTGCTCATATTTGATATTTCTGCTCATGGCCAAGTCCTCGAAATAATGTGGTTTCCTGGAACTGTGAAGTCTGTTTTCACCTTTGCCGTAGTGGAGTCAAACTTAATGGGATCTCGGGGCTTGGGGAAACCTGTAGCCTTATGGCTTTAACCCAGTCCAGCTCATTTCTGAGTGCCTAGAAAGGGTAAAATGCGAACTTTTAAGGTAGGACACATATTTTCAGCAGTTTTATATATATATATATAAAAGCTTATTTTTGGTCTAAAGAGTCCTTTATCAAAAAAGCTCGACATTTTTGACATGAAGGAAGCTGTACTCACAAAAAATCTGCTTGTCTCCTGTGAAGGCAGGATCCTAAGAATTGCCAGAATTAGTATCAAACGCTTGGTGTAGGAGGCAAAAAGCTATTGTGTTGGGGTTTTTTGAATCTGTTTATATTTGAGATGTTTTGTACCAAGCAGATCAGAGGGAAGGAAAAAAAAAAAAGTCCTCACTAAAAGGAATAATTGTCAAGTTTACAGTATGTAATTTACCCTCAGCTGATGTAGGTGGATTTTGCTCAACTTTTTTCCATGCACAAGGTTTCAGAGGCAATTGTTGGTAAATTGCACGTGCAGTGGGCTGGCGAGAGGTACCAAAACCCTTCTGATTTCACAGAAAAATAATTTAACTGGAGCCGTGGTCTGGCTTTGATCTCATTGGTGCTTGCAAGCTAAATAAAAATAAAAAAATTACCTTGGGGACAGTGCATTAATTAACTAGCTGAATTCTGCCTTCATTATTCTCCAGCGAGTTTCCAGTGGTTTTGGCACTCGGCATTGCGACTGGAAGTTGCCAAACACAACTTGGCACCTTCTAGCACCTCCCGAGGGGTGGGAGGGATACGTAAAATGGAGGTGTCTGGGGAGCAGGTGGTGAAAAAGGGCCGAAACCGGGCACTTCGCCGGCGGCAGACAGAGGAGGGATGCAGCTCCCCTCCCCTCATCCCTCTGGTGATCTGCGGCGGCTGGCCCAAGCGCAGGCCACCGTCCCCAGCCTGCAGTGAGGTTGGGTGCCTGCCAAGAAAACAGCTTTTGTGTTTCCTTAAATATTCCGCTGCTGTTTGGGGAAAAGGGGAAAAAAAACCACCACACCAAAAAACAAACCTCAACAACTAACCAAAAAACTGAATTGATATTATTACTAAATTGGCCAGCTGGCTGAATTTTTATTTTTTATTATTTTCATTAACAAATCCCGTTGGTGCTGTTTTCCTGATGAAGCAATGAGTGTTTTTCAGACGAGGGGGCAGATCTTCCCAGTACCACCGCCACTGCGATCTGGGCAGGCGCCAGCAGCCTGAAGAGTGGGATGTGGAGGTGTCCTGTGCAGGCAGCCCTGCAGAGATCATCAGGGCATAGAATCAGAGAACTGTCAGGGTTGGAAGGGACCTTAAAGATCATCTAGTTCCAACCCCCCGCCATGGGCAGGGACACCCCCCACTAGATCAGGCTGCCCAGAGCCCCATCCAGCCTGGCCTAAACAACGCCTAGGAATGGGGCTGCCACCCCCTCTCTGGGCAACCTGTGCCAGGGTCTCACCACCCTCATGGGGAAGAACTTCTTCCTCACGTCCAGTCTGAACTGATCCATCTCCAGCTTTAATGCATTCCCTCCAGTCCTGTCAGTACCCGACGTCCTGAAAAGCCCCTCCCCGGCTTTCTTGTAGCCCCCTTGAAATACTGGAAGGCCACAATAAGGTCTTCTTGGAGCCTTCTTTTCTGCAGACCGAACAGCCCCAACTCTCTCAGCCTTTTGGCTTCTCATGGTTTCACCTTGACACTGCAGAAAAATGGGATGATTGGGGGTGAGGGTAGCTGGGAAATGGTTACTGGATCATGCAATTAGTTATTTTAGCATCTGTTTTGCTACTGCAGCAAACAGACTGGGGAGATTTGCCCTCAGCATGATTAAATGTTTGACTCTGATTTTGCCTGACCCCACATCCCAGCAGGGCTGGCCTGGGCTTAGCAGGGTGCCTGTACATTGATGCTTAATGCAGGAGACAGAAAAACGAATAGCAGCATAAATCACATATAAACCCTTAGAGACATCCCTGAGCTTTGTAAATAACTGATAGCTTCTAGGTGTGTGTTTTATTTCTTGCTTCTTGGGTGGATTTACTACAGTAACGTATTTTTCTGGGACAGGAGGCAGTGCAAGCTACATCTTCATTCTCCGTGTCCTCTAGAAACTCAAAACATGGTGGTGGTTGTTGGCTTTGTGGAAAAGTCCCTCCAGCCCCAGCAGGACATTGAAATTACTAAATTGTGATTCTGCTTTTGTTTAAATTATACTGAAAGATTCACAGCTTCACAGAAGTTGTCCTCAGTGAGTTATTTTTAGAGTTGCATCAAATTCCTTTCACCTGTTTCTTTTGGGGAGGAAAAAAGGTATTTTTTTAGAATAACCTAAAGTCAGAGGAGTCGTCTTTGGGGAGCTTGTTCCTTCATTGGCGTTCCTATAGCAGGATTCCCAGCACATTTTAGGAGAAAAGTTGACTGAAGACAATTTTATTCTAAACACCAGAGATAAGATAAAATTTTATAGTGTCTGCAACGGATCTGCAGTAAAAATATTTGCGACGTTATTTTACTTGGTATTGGATATCAGTGATCAACAGCTGGTTTCCAAATACTGAATTTGACGTATAGTAGGTACTAACCTTTTTTACTAAGCATTTAGTAAGTGGCTGCTCTGTAGGGCTGCCACAGATCTGGATATTTCAGACCCTTTCCAGTCCCTCCTCTGCCTGCCACGTGCTGTCTGGGCAGGTGTGAAGGCTTTTTCACAGGCAGTTGGATGCCAATAGCTGTGTTAGGTTGCCATTCCCCCTCCTACTCTCACCCATGTCTGCACCCCATGTTTTCCTTCTTTGTAGCTTTATAAGCCTTCATATTTTCGGATGAAAACTTTCTTTTCGCTCCTAGTCCTGGAACCTATAGGTCCTCCCATCACTTGTGGCTAGTCTTCAGAAGAAAATGCTCCCGGGACAGGTTCATGCAGGAGTGCAGGACATGGGACAAGGACCTCTCAAAAGCTTTTCTTAAAGAGCTACCCGGCCTGCGAAAAAAGGGCCTGTGCTGATCTAGGTGCCTGCTTCTTATTTCTTCACTGAGAGTGAGCCGGGTTTGATTTGCTTGGCTAAAAGTTGAGGTACGGTATAGCGCCTGGTCTGCCTGCAGCCTTCCTGACCTGCCAGCAAGTTCAAAAGCATCAAGGGTTGAACAAAATATTACAGACTTTGCTGTCTTTGGGAAATGTCCAGCACTCTTTCTGTGTGCAGGAGCCAGGCCCCATTTCATGGCTCTCTTCTCTTCCAGGTTTAGAAGAAAAAACGGTTCTTTCCAAAAAAGAAAAAATGAAGCTGAGGAAAGAAAGATGGCTACAGAGTAAGTACTTCTCCGAAGCACGGTTGTACCATGGGCATCGCAGAGCGTGGCTCTGCTGGGTCTCTCTGCAGATGCGGGGGTGTTGGGCAGTGCCGAAGAGGCTGAATGCTTCTCAGAAACTTTCATATCTGCTCCTCAGCATGTGGGGTATAAGTCCTAGGTATTGTTTCCCAGTGTTTAGCACTGTCATTGGTTCATTGCCCCAAACCTACTTTTGATCTTCTTCCACGTGTGATGAAAGTGACAACCTAAAGCCTTTATTTATCATCATCATCGTCATAGAATGGCCTAGGCTGAAAGGGACCTTAGAGATCGTTTTAATCCAGCCTCCCGGCCGCCAGGGACACCACCTCTTGACTAGATCAGGCAACACATGGGGACCGAACGGGAATTGAACCCGCGACCTTAGCATTGTTAGCGCTACGCTTAACCAACTGAGCTAACCGGCCCCCTGACTGAGCTATTTATTCAGATAGGACGCTGTGCCCATGGAGGTTTGGTGTGTTTATCTTTTAAAGCTCTGGTACAGGTATGACTAGCTGTATAGCAGAGATCCTTCTCCCTGAGGACCTGTGGGGACAGTAGGAAAGCCTGGAGCAGAGCCCCACACAGCCACCAGCTAATCCCAAGCCTCTGTGGTGAAAGCCTGCAGTAGCCCCTCCTGCCCTTCGGTAAGGGAGGTCTCTGGCTGCTGCTGATAGTGTTACTGCTCTTTCCCACGTGCCACAGGTCAGTGAACCCTCTTACCAAACAGTCTGGCCTTTCTCGAGCCTGTGAAATGTGAGCTTAATAAAACCATCCCATGGCAGAAATGCTTCTGTTTCCTGTGGGAAGTGTCTGTGTTTTTGCTTCGAGTATCTCAGCAGAGTAAGAGACAATGCTTTGCTACCCAGGCTCTAGCAGAGGGATTCCTCTTGCCACCTGGAGTTGTTCTTGGGAAAGGTTTTTTCCTTAACACCTTCTTGTCCTACAGAGTTTCTGACGAACTGTGTTTGGGGCTGAGGGATCTGGCTTTCTGCTGCTCTTCTTACATAAAGAGCTGATAATTTAACACTGTGAGTGTGAAGGAAACCTCCTCCATATCACCAGCCAACAACTTCCAAGTGCCTTTGACATCTGTAACCCTTTGTGTTCCCGCTGGGCACAAAACAGGTGGCTGTGCTAGTCCTAACATCTGGCCTGCAGGCTGCAGTTCCAGTGCTCCTAAAGGTATCTCCTTGTTGCATACCATGGTGGGAACAGGAGGGGACTGCTGAAGCATAGCTGAGCTGTCCTTGCTCTGATACCAGGGCTGGCACGGGTGCCATAGAGGAAGGCATGTTCGCAGCAGCATTTTATAACAGAATCCACAGTGAAAGGGGTACATGGGACTCGTATATTCAGCAAGAAACAGGGGGCACACTCCTGCAGTTGGGTGACAGCACGGCTCCCATGGCCGCAGACATGCACTCTGGAAAAGCCCAGGAACTGGATCCCTGCACTCTTAATTCTGCCTTCCTGCATATATACCTGTGTAGCAGCAGTCTTTCTCAATATCATGTACGTTACTTTGGCCCTGTCATGGCCCTTTTCCTCCTCTCTTGGCTCTAGTTGCTTAGCTGAGGGAATATAAATGAAATGCAGAGGCTTTGCTTTAAAAAATAGAAAACTTCAGACCAAATTATCTCTGTCTTAGAAGATACTAGGTATTAGAACTGCTTTACAGATACAAAAGTACCTAAATTGCTGGTTCTTTTGACTCCCCCACTAAACTTACGGCCAGTTGGCAAATACCAGCATTCCCTTGCATGTGTTTTGCTAAGGGTAGCACGTACCTGGGGTTTCTGTAAGAAAAGTCAGCAAGTGTTAATACTGGATGTGCATCTTGTTACTGAGAAATATGCAATAGCTGGAAGGAGCCTATATAAATACCAGTAAAGAAACTTATCATCATCATTATCTGATGGAGTGAAATGAACTGATATTTCCAGAGATGGATGTTTTTTGATGAAACTTGGCCTAACATTGTGACCTTATAGAGCTGCAGTCAACTGAAACATGTTGATTTTTATTTGATGCCGATAGGTCTGCCAATTTGTTGTGAGTTTTGCAGTCTTTGCCCCCCAAAAGAGAACCCAAGTTGGACTGCAGGAGTTGTTATCATTACATCTCTGTTTTCCTAAATCTTCCCGAGAGACTGTTGTTTCTTCTTGTCTGAAGGCTGCTTTCGTGACACTGGATGCCAAGACCCTGGGAACTAAAGTTCAGCCCAGTAGTGCAAATGCAGAACTTGGAGATTTCTTCCATTCCAGTAAGTCATCTCAGGAGAGACTAGGGAGGGAAAAAAGGTTATGTAATGCTTCAGACATTAGAAGTATGCACATTTAAAAATACATACATCGCATGGCTCCGCAGACGAACAAGACTTCATAGGAAAAGAATTTGGGATGTTTGCGCAGAATCAGGTGTCTGAAAATTTTGAGCTCATACTGTTTATGAAAGCACTGAAGTAGTCAGCTTCATAAAGCCAGACCAAAAAAAGAAATTATGCAGAACAGAAAGCTGTGTTCTTGGCAGGGGTTGCTGTAAGGAGAAGCGTTTACAATCCAGATTGGTCACAGACATCCATGTACAGCAAAATTGCAGTTCACAAAAAGCTGTTGCTCTTCAACTCAGCTGAATTGGGGAGCGAAGAAGACTATCTTAAAGGAGCTAGTGGCTAGGCAGTGAGTTTGAGTTCTGCTGTCTTGAATGTGGGCAGCAGGATTAGACCCAGAATTTCTAGTGGCATCTTGCCTGCGGTCTGTAGAGTGGGACTGGCTGCTTTTGTGTTCACACCAACAATATGTGTGCTGATTTAGTGCTCTTGTTGTGGCCATGCTGTGTTGGAAGCCATTAGCCTCCCCTGTGTTGCCAGCTTGGCCTCACAGCTACTGGCACTGTGCTCCATCATGCCCAGAAAAGACGCTTTAATGCTGAGGCTCTGCAATACACTCGATGTCCAAGGCAATAAGCAGAAGCTACTCTGCTGGGCACGTGGAGGAGGTGGAGTCCTCCACCGGGCACCCTGCAGCACTGGTACCCCTTGACACTGAATGTCAAGTCAGTGCAGTGGGTTTCCAGGCCCAGTGATTACCTGGCAGAAGAAAAAGGAGGTCATGGGTCCTGCTCTGGCTGTTTCTTGTGGTGTTGTCAGGGGACTTCTGGGACAGGGTGGAGCTCAGCTGGAGGCTTGTAGCAGAGCTGGGCTTTTGTGGGCTGTCTTGGAGGAGAACATGTTCTCCTGGGGCTTGCTTTGGAGGTTGTTGGCTCTGGAAGGCTTGGACAGCTGCAGGACATATTTCTGCACCAGGGAGCCTCAAGGACTAGGGCAGAAGCCTGCGGCTCTCAATGCACACCTCTGATGGCTGAGAAAGGAGATTGCTGTAACATTTCTAGAGCCTTATGTGTCCACAGCCTTGCTCAGAGCTGCTGCAGGGAGACTGGTAAACTTGGTCTTGAGGAAAAGCCAGCTGCCTCTTTTGTCTGCCGCCTGGTGCAGTGCTTTTCTAAGGGCCCAGTTTGTCCAGCATCTGACTGCTTGAGTTCCACCATGACTCATGAAGGTGAGACCTTGACTTGCTCCGAACTAAGTAAACAACTGAAATTAAGTCCATCTTTTCTGCCTGTGCTAGGCGACTGTTGTTTTGTCTTGACAGCAAAGACGAGATGGGGCTGTGACTGTTTAATGCCACAGCTGACTGTGTTTGGTACATCCCTCCCTTCTTATTTTTCTCTCCTAATTCCATGCAAGGTCAGCATGAGTTTTTCCACCCCAGGACTTTTGTGCTGCGTTGCTGTGAGCAGCGAATAGCACAAGGGATGGAAACAGTTCAGACAAAATCAGTCTGGGGATTTCACTTCCCATTGCAAATGCCAGTAGAGATGCGTATAGTTATAAGCAAACACAGCGCGGGAACTACCCAACTGCATTATTTTCAGTCTTTCCCTGGTTTAAACTATTTCTAGCCTGTGTTCTTGTAGATGGTGAAGCAGCCTTTGAATTTCTTAGCTTAAGGGAATGCTTCCCTTTTCTCCAATAATGTCTTGTTTCTGATTCAGAAATAGAAAATGTGAAGCTTGCCAAGCAGAGGCAAAAAGCCGAAGCAAAGCGGAAAGCAACACCTGTGGTGGGAGACATGCAGCCATTGATGGAAGCGCTACCTGAGCTCTCCGACCTGACCACAGGTGGCAGGGGCAGGAAGCCATCCAGGAGGTATGTGCTGTTTAGGGATGGGCTGTGCATTTCCCTCCTTCCCGCAGGATGAAGTGCCCTTCTGTTCAGCTTGTAGCTACAGGCACATCAAGCTCGGTACTAGTGGTCAGGAGAACAGAGCCTCATTCTTAGCTCCATTTCACCCCTTTCCATGCTTTACTCACTGCAAGAAGAAAGCTTAAATGTGTCTTTTGAATCCACAGCTAAGAGGGGAATCTGTACTGCTCAGACAGGACTTGGTATGGGATAGGCTGGGAGCAGCCAGATGTCCTGGGAGCTGACACATAAGTGTCCAGAATGTAATGCTACTGAACTCACCTGAAAATCTGGACTTGAAGTGTTGCAGCCTGCTGTTCTGTCCTTCCAGACCTCCAGGCTTTCTTTTGAGGCAGTTCGAGCCCCCTGAGTATAGCTTTACGCTCTGGCCAGACTCTTTGTTCACCCTCTTCGCTTGGAATGTGACTTTGGACAAGAGCAGAAAGATGGTGTTTTCATTCCCTTTATTGTAATGAAGAAGAAGGGCTATTTCTGATCCTCTGACACCCACATGTCAACCAGCCCAGCCAGCTGTAGGGAGGGTTCTGGTTGCCCTTATGTTTTCTTCTTTTCAATGCAGTGCTCTGCCTGACTATCTGGTCAGAGTTGCAGCTGCTTTTGCATCCCCCAGTGTAGAATACAAGTGCTCTGCGTGCTGCACAAGACACCCACCTACAGAGCACGGCTGAGTTGGCACTTCCCTGTGCTTCTGGAAAGCCACTCCTCAGACAAACAGAGCTATTTCCATGCATATAAGTATAGAAAAATATTTCCTCTCTTAACTTGGCTTCTAATTACTTCAATAGCATTTCTTTTCTTTTTTTTTTCCCTTTATGCAGCCATTCAGTCAGCCTGCCCCCTCTTTCAGAGGGAATGAACTGCAAATACACATGTAGAATTTCAAGTCCTGCAGAGCACTGAGAGTTGGTTGGATGGAGTTCTAAATGAGGGCTTAGCCTGAGCCTGAATAGGTAGCTTTGCCCTCTTTCTGTGATGATGGTACCACAACCAGATGTGGCATCTGACTACAGGTTGTGTTCAGGAGTCATTCCTCCTCATTCATCATTTTCTCCTAACCCCCTTGCTATCCAGGAGAGCGGCTCGCAAAAATTTCCTACAGGGCAGGGAGGACAAGGCAGGCTGCTTCCTTTGGGGATTACTTCCAAGGTGGCTGAGTAATCTAGTACAAATACGTGGTGTTGCTGTAGCTGGCAATTCTGGACAAGCTCAAAATATAGAGTAGAACTGAAGAAGGCTCAGAGATGTCTGACAATGGTGATGGTGAAAGGTCTGGCATAGCTACTGCACAAGGAGTCACTACGTGAGCTGGGGAGTCCTCAGCCTGGACAGGAGATAGAGGCAAAGAGGCTTGGGAATGCAATAGTCTATAAAATCAAGTGTCATGTGGTTAGGAAGTAGTGCATCTTTTCCAGTATGAGAAATAAAAGACATCAAACATAGCTCGTGGATGCAGAAGGCTCACTGCTCAGCACAGCTCCTTGCTGCAGGACATCATGGCTGAGGGAAGCCTCTAGCAATGAGGAAGCTCCTTCGAGAGTTACTGCATGTGTGTGAACTGCAGCTGGCACAGGGTCTCTGAGCTGCAAATACTGGAGAGGATGTGGCTGTACGCTTGCCTTGGCCTTATCCCTCTCGGGCTGTCTGCTGCAGCCTGCTTCAAGGTAGAACTGGGCAAAACGGTCCTTCCAGCTACTACATTTGCTCTTGTCTTCTGTAGTATACTTCATGGTAGAGGGTGCACGGCACACGTGGAAGTGTTCAGAGATCTTGCACGGATTTCTAGCCTGACATCCTCAGAGAAGCTCTGTCAGCTCCCTCTCTCTTCAGGCCCAGACGTCCTGTGGGAGCGTGGCAGCCCTTGTCTCCTTTTGGAAACCCGAGCTCATACTCTGTCTCTGTTGTCTAGAAAGCCAGTGGGGCTGTGGCACAGCAGGGTAGAGAAGACCAGCCCTGGCTGAGAATTTCAGGATTGGCCAGCACCATCTGCAGTCAGCACAGCGGAGGTGGGAGATGATTGTCATTGGCTGATGTCACACAGATTGCCAGTGACATGCCAACCCAAAAGCAGTCCCCCTTGGTAATGGCAGGGAGGACCTGCAGTGCTCTTCTTTGCTTTGCTGGCTTGTGGCTTCCTGGACTGCGTGAGGATGGGTGTGCATAAGTGTTTGAAATAATCAGAGGAGGCTTTTATAGGATTTGAATCATTACATAAATGAAGGGTAATACTCTGGTGATTTGTCAGCATTATTAATAAAAGATTAGATTCTCCAGGAATTTGATCTCCTGCTGGGTAAGAGAGCATTACAGTGAGGTTTTTATTCTGTTTTATAATGAATGAAGGCAATGAAGTGTAATGAAACAGGGCTACTAATACGGTCCAAGTGAGCAGGCAGCATGCTGATGGGTCGATGGAGGAAATTCAGGCATCAGCCTTTAAAACCTGCCAGGCTGGTGGGGCAGAGCTATTGAGTCAAACTGAGAAGCCTTCAGAAGCACCGAGTCCTTTAAAATAGTGGAGTGGCCGAGAGCAAAAGTGGGCTTGTACGTCCTCAGGCAGCCCTGTGCCATTGTCGGGGAAGCTACACATGTGGTCTTCTGTGGCCTAGCATATACTCTAGAAAGGCTTCCCTTTAAGCGTTGTCACCGTCATCTTTGAAGGGACTGCCATGCCAGCTTGGTGGCACACTTGATCTGTTAACTGTGGGTTGCCGTCTCTTGTGGTTTCAGCCGTCTGCCTGGGCTGACGCCAAAGAACCATGCAGCTCTCTCTCATGCCTCCTCCCACCCGCATCCTTTTTGGGATGGGGAGGGAGAAAAGTTCGGCTAAAAAGGCTCAAGGACTGAGATTAGGACAGGAAGGGTTCATTCACCACTTACGGGCAAAAAGCAGAGTAAACTTGGGGAGAAAACCTAAATTTAATCTACCACCACCAGTTATCAATTAGATGAGAGTAGAATAGTGACAGAAAATAAATACAACATGGCCTTAAATACACTTCTCCCCCACCCCCTTTCTTCCCAGCTACCTCCTCCCCTCCATCAGTGCCAGGAGGGCAGGGGGTGGGGGATGCGGTCCTTCCCGCCAGTGTGGGATCCTCCTTGGGGTCACGGGTCACTTTGGGCACATCCTCCACTCCTGCAGGGTCTCTCTTTCTCCGCCCTGGCATGGGGTCTTCCACGTACCCTGCACCCTCAGCTTGCAGGCAATCACCTCCTGCCTTCTCACTCACCACAGGGCTCAGGAGAAACGCTCTGCTCTGGCCAGTGCCCTTCTCCCTGCCTTCTTCACAGACCTAACGCGTCTCTCTCTCACCTCTCCCTCCTCCAGACAGGAAAACTCCCCCAACACAAAAGCTGGGACACAGAGACTAAAGTGACAAAAAGAGGCAGAGGCTGGCCAAGCAAGTCTCCCCTCTTAAATACCTTGATCACAGAGGTGTTGACTGGCCTGGCCTTGGCCAGAGGTGGGTCTGACTTTTACCTGGGGCTGTGGAAGGCTCTGAAAGTTTTGCATGGAGCCACCCTCCAGATGCCTCCCTGCCCTGAGTACAAAAAACTCCTCCAGGCACAAACCCATAACACTGTCCAACCTAGGAAGGGGTTTCTCTGTGCTTTTGTGATTGATCCAGGCAATCTGGGACATTACACTGTTCCTGTGCAGAGCAGTTAATAGACACGGAGAGAGCGGAGATGCTTCCTGCTCAGACTGTGTCTTGCACTACCAGTGGACGCAGCAGAGTGACAGGAACTGCTCGAACCTGGTAGCTGTTTGCCTGCTCTTGCTGATCACTGCTCCTTACGAGCTCTCAGGCCTGTTGTATAATGCCGGCAATGCCACGGTGTCCTTGAGAGGGACTGAAGGGTAGAGGAGCAGCATACAGGCATTGATCTGCCTGGCTGCCCTTTGCTGCACAGGCTCTGTGCTGGGAAAGCTGGCTCACATACATCCACCCTGTCTGGGTTTGTGTGAGTTGACAGGCAGCTCGGACACTGTGGCACACTGTGCTGGGCTGAGGGTGATTCAGATGTGATGGGGGCAGCCCTCAGCAGCTTGAGTCCACCAGGATTCCCCCTTGAGGACAAAAAAAATTGGCCGTGATGGGGAGAGGGAGAGATGAGGAAGAGCAGGAGCTAGTCAAGTAGAGACACATGATGGAAGTGAGTGAAGTGAAGAAATGTGGGGCAAGGGAGGAATGGGGGGAAAAAATTGAAGAATGAAAGGATGGAGGGTAGTAGATAAGAGAGGGAAATAATAAGAGGAGGTCACTGTAAGACTGCCAGTAAGAGACCTGATCCTGCTGTCTTGAAGAGAAGGGGAGGGAATGTCATATTGAGAAAGCTGAAGAGCTCTGGGGCAGTTCAGATGGGGGAGGCCCTGGCCCCCAGCACCCACCTTTAGGGTAAAATTCCTCTTTGAGCCCTACCCCAACAGGGGAGTGAGAGGCAGACCCTCTTCCCCCCTTGGGTTGTGTGCTGGCGCTCAGTCCCAGGGAGAATCAGAGTGGGAGGCAGACCTTCTTTCCCATTTGTTTCACCTGTTTACCTCTGTGTAATCCTGAAGAATGAAAGTTTCTTCTCCTTTCCCTGATGTCCAGTTCTACCAGCAACTCACCATATGCACTTCAAGTCTCAAAAGCAGTTGCTGCCCTTCCTGTGTGTCTCTTGCTTGGACTCAGCACTTGGCTTTGGTGGTAAATCTCTGCTGTTGCTTGGCATCAGGCACCATGTGCTTCCAGCATCCTGTGCAGTGTGAGATTACACCTCTGGTATCCTCGAACTTTACCCAGAAGTAAGAAATGTGGGCAGAGAGTGCAGATCTGTGCTTGCCACTGTGCCTCAGGTGCACATAGTGCACCATCCTGTGCTCCTGGAGTCCATCACCTTGTAAATTCAATGGAATTCTTAGGACCTGTGTTTAGTGGCGAAAGCTGAAGCTCTCTTGTTGTGCTTTCACTCTAGCTAATCTGCAACTGCCTTAAACTGGCAAACCTTTGGGGAGGAAATGTGTTCATGGGGAGAAAGGAACATTGCCATTATTTATCTTAAAATGTAAGGGACACCTTATACCCCAGTGGTCCCACTGCAGGATCCGAAGCAGGGCTGGCAGTTCCCTCTTCTTGCTGAGTAACCGTGGCACTGTCTATAACGGATGTTTGCTGATGCTGGAGCTCCGTAGTGTTAGCAAGGAACACGAGATGTGCAGAAGTGACACGTGCCTGGTGGTGAGGGAAAGTTTGATGGGATCTTTTCTCTAAGCAACAGTATCAGCTTGACCTGGAGGTTAATGATAAGGAGAAAGGGATCTGGGCATGAACGCCTAATGACCTGATCTAGAACTAAGTGATACGATTTTTATTTAGCTCATTTACCTAATGCCCATTCAGTCCTGACACCTAAGCTTTTGTCAGTCTATGACAGAAGTTTGCATCTCCATTACTACCTGGCTGTGGAAATAGTTGTCCTTCAGGATAATTTAGATACAATTACCTATACTTTCTGGGAACGCAGATGCAGAATTTCTAGACTCTTTCCATCTCTATAGCAATTGATAAATTACTGCTCGTCTATAACTCACTTACTTTGTTTCTTCTCTCCACAGCCATGTAAAAGCAAAGGCAGAACCAGCATACTTCTGTCTGATGAAACAAGCTCAGAAACACCGTCTCTTGTAAGTACCCAGTTATCAGAGTGTCCAGTACCTGCTGAATGTTACAGAATGGTTGAGAGAGACTGGAAGGAACCTCTGCGCGTCATCTGGTCCAACTGCCCTACTCAAGCATGTAGAACTTGTCACCTTGCCCAGGACCACATCCACATGGCTTTAGAATATCTCCAAGGATGGAGATCACGCAGCTTCTCTAGGTTACCAGTTCCAGTGTTCCAGTCTTACATATCTGAAGGCCCTAGAAGAGGTGGCAGCTTCAGTTTTCCCCTTTATGTAGTGCAGGATGTTTGTAGGTGTCCCTCTGTATCAGTTCCTATCAGAGTCAGTCAATTCTAAATGGATTCAATCTGCTTCCACTTCTGTCTCATGTAAAATCTAAGCGAAGAGAGAAACTGCACTTGCTCCTTTACGAGTTCACTTTTCCTGTCTCATTGAAAAGAAAGTGATGGCTTGGGCCTACTGAGTATGGTCCATGTAGTTTCAGGGCAAACCCACATCAACTGTCTCCTGGCCACAGTTGTAATTTCTGGCTGTACCAGGTGAGTGTGTCTGTTCTGTGTCCCTCTGTATGGCGTGGACTATGTGGTTAGCAACCAGCTGGTGTGTCATTTGGCTTGCTGAGTTAAAGCTGCAGCGTCCAGTTGTGGCTGAGTCTCTTACGACACCTGGCCCATGTAGCTCTAGGTGATAGCCTTCAGGAAAGCTCCCTGCAGTTGTGTAGGTTAGGAGCTCCTGGAACTCTGTGTAGCATGAGGAGCTACAGTTGCTCTGTTAGAACCCTTCTGGGATGTTAACTTACACACCGTACATCCCTCGGGAGGACGGCTGTCCATTGGCATCTGCCAAAACTTTTCTTGTAAAATGAAACACTAAATGCTTTTCCTGGTCTTGGTCTGGCAATTCCTGAGTCTTCTGTATAAGCTGTTGTGTATTTTACACTGCCACCCAGCATCAAGAATTTCATTTCCCCTCAGCACAGCTGTCCTGGGGCTAAGCACTCTGATCTGGTATGTTTGCTTTCTGGGATTTCTGTCAGTTCTGAGCCATTCAAACTGAGAGTGAGGAGAACAGTCAGCACACTCTTGTGAATACCTTCTCTCTCTGAAACTGGCCAGGGTTGATGCTACGATGCCTTTCTTGCTCAGTTCTGCCTCTCTGCATGAATCTCTCCTTGGTTTTTTGCAGAAGCCCAAGGGTCACGGCCCTGAGTGCCACCAGCGAGTGTCTCGTTGTGCTGTAATTCATGGGAGAGGAACACTGCTTGAGAAACGAGTTTTGTACAGAGTTAAATCCAAATAGGCAATTCTACCACAGTCTTATGGTTTAGCAAACCAGTGATCCCCTGTGTGCCCTTGTCTTCTGCACAAGACTGAACAGATGCAGTGAGTAGTGGCACGTACCCTACCATGGTGATCTGGGAAGCCTGTGCTTCTTTGGATGGAAAAATTTTGGTGGAAGGTCTTGAGGTTCATTTCCCAGGATGGAGGTTCCTTAAGCCTCACCTCATTGCCCCAACTGCCACAATTCAAGCTTCAGGTTTGGCTTCTCTCACTGTTCCTCTGGCAGGGCAGGGCAGGGCTGGCATCGAAGGGGAGGGCCATACTAGGGAGGAAAGTAGCTGCATGCTGCAAGCTGAAGAGCGCTCTGCTAATCCACAGCAACTACAGAGAACATGGAGATGTGTGTCTGGCTGGGCTGTGGAGAGCCTGGCAGTCTGTCTAAGGGAGAGGAGGAGGCCACAATGGATGAAACATGTCAAAACTCAGGTCTTTTTATACTCCTTCTCTGTTCTTGTTCCTCCCTGCTTGCTTGCTTTTTAGGACAAGACCATTTCCACAGCAACAAGCTGTGACCAGGCATGCAGAGGTAATATTGTCATGCTGCTCCCATGGTGTCTGACTAGTGTTGCACATAGGATTACCAAGCCTCTATTCTGAGCAGTAGTCAGTACATCAGGAGCACTTGAAAGCAGAATCTGCTTTTGTGCTAGTGCAATCTGAAGTAGTTTTCATTCGTAGTGTTCTACCAGATACCCACAATCTCTTGTTCCTGATTTAGGAGGGAAAAGATCTAAAGAAAACATTTCCAAGTGATGCTGGACACTAACGTGATTGTTTCTGTCTGTGGCACGAGATCAAGTTTCTGGCTCCCATGAAGTTGCCAGCAATTTGAGCTATGCCCTTGGGTAAATTAGGTTTATTTCTTGCACTGTTTCTTTCTGAGGTTTACACCCGGGATCATTATGTCTGTACAGAGAGTCACTGCTTTATGAGCTCTATTCTTATCTGCTCAGTTCCTTTTGCATGAGGCACTTAGCCTTTGTGTGTTGTTTTTCTTTCCTCAGAGAGGAGGAAGTGGCTCGGTTTCATGAGGTCATCGCTGATCCCAGATACAGAGCCAACCCACTCATGGCCATCAGCGAGCATCTCTCCAAGAGGCTGAGGCAGGAGGAAGAAGGTAAACCCCTCTAGGGTGTCAGCTGGGACCAAACGTGCCTGCTGGAGCTGGTGCGAGGACCCCAGGCTGCAAAGGAGCACATCACTAACATGACCTCTCAGCCACTTCAGTCCTTGGAAGCAGTTCAGCAGATTATTAAATCCAACAGTCCTGTTTTCTGTCTGCAGGAATAATGCAGTTCTCTCCTGACAGTGGCAGCTGCTCCTTGATGAACAGCCTGCAGAGAGCAGGGTGTTCTGCAAGATCTTTTTGCAGATGTTAAGGTACCTGCAAAGTGTCTTGACACCTCTTCTGGTGAGCACAATTTCTTAAATTGTGCCAGTGGCAATGTATCTGGTTTTTGTCATTTCCCTCTCCCTTTCTGACAACTCTGGAAATACATTCCCTGTTGCTCTGCTGAGATGGTTCAGGACCCCAAGCCCTGGAGCCAGGAAGGCTGTTGTACAGCTGTGTAAGGACTGATGCTGCTGTTCAGAGAAATTGTTTTATGTGAGAAATTTAGCTTTGGAATAAACACACTTGCACACAGTGCTGAGTTTGCCTGGCTCTTGTTTTCATAAATATGAATTGAAATAGGAGCTTATTCCCATCTCTGGAAAAATGACTTGAAAGAATAGGTTTTTTTCCATGTGTACAGTTTGCTGCTAGAGTGCTGCTGCAGTGTGCAACAGAAGCCACATGAAATCATTGCAGAGCACGTCTAACTCAGACTTGCCTTCCTCCTGTGTTTTCCATGGATGATGCTGGTCCCTTTCAGCCTGTGTCCTGTTCCCTGCTTGACCTGCCCTATATGAAGCATCCCAAAACATGTCCTGGATGCAGGCCGTGAACTCAGCCAGTAATTTCCATGTTTGTGTTTGGGAACTGCTGCAGGGGTGTGAGGCCTTTCCTTCTACCAAAGACCAATTTTCACAGAACTTCAGTGAATTTTTGTGAGAACAACTGAAATGAGGGCCGTTTCCTTTTTGAGATGATCCCAATTTGACACCTCAACAAATCAGTGCTGTCTTTTGAATGACATAAATAATTTTCCAATGCTTCTTAACCTTGGAAAAGCAGCCTGCCTATTTCAGGTCAACTATGAGGAATATGTCCAACCTTTAAGGAAGAAATTCACTCTGATGCCCAGACAATGCATAGAAGCTGCTGCTGACTCTTACCAAGTTTGTGCCTAAAACCACCTGCAATGGGAGTCGCAGGCACCTTGATCATACCTGTCTCATGCATCATTAGTAATGCTGCTTTTTTTCTCCCTCTAGGCTGGCACTGTTGAACAAAAGGAGTTTTTCTAAAGCCTGCTCTTAGCCCTGGCAGTGCAGATGCTGTCACTGCTGCTGCTTGCTGTTAGAAGGATGCCACCCCTCCTTCCCCAAGGCCTGGCAGGACAGCCCTGCTGGCAGAGGCCACAGGGAGATGCTGGTTATGTCCCATCCTCCACCTTGTTGCTCTCGGACTGGCAGAGGGCTGGCAGTGCTCTCCTTTTTCCTGACAGCTCCTGTGCCAGTGCTGGGAGGTGAATGCTACTGCACTGCTTGTCAGCATGCTGTAATGCCCTGCAGGACCCAGGGTCTGGAAAGCAGAGGGCTGTGGTGGGGTCAAGCAGCTTGAAATATCTCCCCACCTCCTCGTTGGTTCCTGCTTGCTCTCTTAACAGTATCTCATTGGATTTCTTTAAGGCCATGCTGGATTTTGAGCTCTAAATGTCAGTCCCAGCTGCAGCCATGCTTCTTCTGCTCATGTTATGCAGCTTGGGCACCACATTGGAGAGCTGGGCCTTGGACATGGAGGCTGTGCAGTAATGGCACCTCCTGCCTGTGACCTGCAGCTGCTCCTGCTACTCGTGGCTCCCAACAGCCCAATATGTGACTTGGGACTTGGACCAAGCTAATGATTCTGGGGTGGTTCTATCCGTAAGCCTGCTTATGCCTTTACTGTCTCATAAGTAGCTGCCTCCTGAGAAAGATGCCATCCTTGTGCTTAAATGGAGGGAAGGTGAGAGATGAAGGTGAAGACATCCAGCTACAAGGGAGGATGAAGATTGCTCCTCTTTTTAGTTAACAGGGCACTCGGAGGGATGGAAAAGTGTATCTGGAGGGCAGGAGGGACAGAATGCAGCCTGCACGGCACGTTGGAGGACTTCTGTTGCTTGTCTTCTGTACTTGGCAGGAGCTTTAAAGCTCTCCTTTTGTCTTGTGTTTTTTAGATAACACATGACTCACGAGCAGCCCTTGGCCTCCTTGTATGGCTGGGTCATGCTGTAGCCAAGCTGTGCCCTCATGTTTCCTTTTACAGCAGCAGCAATGCGTTGGTCTGCCCCAACACAAATGAGTGCAATAACTGGAGAGAAGCCACAGGCAAGTTTAAAAAATGCCACGCGGCGTTGTGCACTACTGGTGGGATCGTGTCCCTGCCCTCAGAGATACATGCAGTGCATGATGACTGTGCTTTACAGAGATCCAGCGAGAGCGGTGATTTCGTATGACAAGCTCTAATTTTCTGGCCATCTTTGCACAGAGTGAGGCCATCCTTAGTTGGATTGTTCCAGACCAGTTTCTTCTTAGTAACTTTTCCCTAGGGTGAAAACAAATCTGAAAGACTATCAATTCCTGTCATCCCAAACTACTTAGTTTTCTTTTCACAGGCAGTTCCAAGTAACTTAAGAGTTGGAGCAATTCTTGCATGGCCTGAATTGCAATGTTAAGAAAGATCCTCAGCTGGCAGAAGGCTAGTTTTAGGTAGGTACTGGGGTAGATGTTACTGTGGGTCATGTGCCAAGAGATCACTGCCTTCTAGCTCTGAAAGAGTAAAGCCTGACAGGACTGCATCCTTTTCTCATCCTGTGCAGTTTTTTCTATGAGGCAGTTTGGAGCTGGAGTGGAAAATGGATTTCTGAGTGCAAAACCAGCTCTGAGCACTTTGGAGCCCCGAAAAGCATCACCAGGGTGAGTGGCTTTGTGATTTGTGTAGCTTTTCCAGGGTGGCACACTGGCTATATGGGGCTGTCCCCATGTTTCCCCGGCCTGCATGTGGACATGCCAGCACCTTTAGGTTGCCATCTGTGGGGATTGTGGCCGGAGCTGGTCACTGGAAATTGAGACACCAACAGCACAGTCATCTGGCACTTTACCCCTCCTCAGCCTGCTTGCTTGGTCCCATCTTTCCCCGTCAAACCACTGGGAGCCAATCCAGCTGAAGCCTCATTATCTGGGAGGGGAAGGGGTGACCCCACTCAGTGCTTCCTGACAGCCATGCCCGTGCTGGTGGCCCTTCATCTCCAGCACAGCATCACCGGCCACCACACTCACACCTTTTCTTTACCTTGGATGGGCCAACGCTGTCACTTGACTGTGTGTCTAGCTCTTAGCCCGCTGTTTGAAAATGTTAGTCTCCTGAGTATTTAGCAGCAGTTAAATATGTGAGTGTTTGAAACTACAGTTCACAGCCTGCTGCTGCAGGCATCTCCTGCCCCCGCCATCCTAACAGTTGAGCAAAGGACTTAAAATCTGCCAGGAAACAGGCGTCTGAGACACAGAGTTGCCTCCACAGTTGGCATGTTTTCAGGATGATAAAAGCTTTCACGCCAGTTTTTTGAGGGTTTTTTGTTGTTTTTTTTTTAGATAGCAGCGTGGGAAAAAATAGCTTCCAAGGAGTAGTTGTGCCGGAGGAGAGGGTGGGGGCCCGACCCGGGTGCTCTAGACTTAGCAAGAAGTGAGTAAGCAGCGAATGCACTGTAAACTCAGGACTGGAAAATTTTGGGGATACTTTCCCAACTGTTTTCTTTCTTGTTGGTGATTTTGCCTTTGAAGGCTGTTCATAGAACTGTGTCTGAAAGCAGAAGCCTGGGTATCCTGTCCATCTGGTTGTACCAGCAGATATTTTCTGCTACACACAAAGCACCCGAAGTGGTGGGTGGAAGGGGATTCTCCTTTACCAGCAGCTCTTTGGTTTGTAGGTTGTAAAGGGATATGTTTTTATAGCAGATCTTGCAACTCCTGTGTTTCTCCCCAGCACTGGTGGTGGTGGCCCATTATGCTTTCTTTGTGCTGGAGCAGGGGTTGCATCAGGCCAGTGGCATGTCTCAGAAAGTGTGATGAGTGACACAGACCTGGCCCTGGCCCTTCATCTAACCAAAGAAAGTCCTTAGTGTGAGTATGTAGACTCCCTCCTCCTTCCTTCTGCTTTCTGGCTTGTCTGCCCTGCAAAGTTTTCTTTACAGACCTTGTGCAAGCAAGTACCCCTGTTCCTTTTGTGTATCGAAAATGACTTATGCCAGCTAACGCATACTTTTGCTTACACTCTGCTTGAAGCTATGAGCCACGCTGGCCCTATGGCTTTCTTTTTTTTCCTAGAGCTAAGCATGTCTGATGGCTTTTGCCAGCATAACGCCTGCCAGCTCCGGCACATGCTGACGCTGCGGGTACCAACAGGGTGGAGCTGGCTGCCTCTGAGGCTGCCAGGGAAAGCTTGTGGCAGCTGAGGGCAGGCAGGTGAGCCCAGCAAAGCTCCTGGGTCTGTGGGAGTTCTGCACCTAGGAAGTTTTGCACCTGGGAGCTGTTGCCCTTCCCATGCATAGAGTTGTTCAATCTGGAGAAGGGAAGACTCTGAGAAGACCTTTAGCAGCCTTCCAGTGTTTAAATGGGGCCTACAGGAGCACTAGAGATGGACTTTTTAAAAGGGCATGTAGTGATGGGACAAGGCATAATGGCTTTAAACTGGAAGAGGGTAGTTTTAGATGAGATACAAAGAAGAAGTTCTTCCCTGTGAGGGTGGTGAGACACTGGGACAGGTTGCCCAGAGATATTGTTGAAGCCCCCTCCCTGGAAGTGTTCAAGGCCAGATCAGACGGGGCTTTGAACAACATGCTCCACTGAGAAGTGTCACTGCCCATGGCAGGGGTGCTAGAACTAGATGGTCTTCAAGGTCCCTTCCAACCCAAACCATCCTATAATTCTATGATTCTATACCTTCACCTGCTGGTCAGTCTGTTCCAAGCCTTGAGCCTCTGCAGAGACAT